TTAAAGTTTTTTAGTGCGTGTGAACTATCGTGAAAAAAAATAGGTGCCGAGTCTCATCATACGGGTGTACGCATTTATTTTGAACTATAGAATGACGTGCGACATTGATGTTAAATTCTCTCCACATGGCTTGATTGGCTGAACCCATATCAGAAACAATCCCCTGAACGCGCAATCCTATTTTCTCTGCTTTTTGAATAATTTCAAAAATTATATTTTTATACACGGAACCGTTTTTTGGCTGTAAAATAATAAGCCACACTTTGTTTCCACCTGTGCCCTATGCTTGCAAACATAAAAACTAAGCCATAGGTCGCAATGTCGTTGTTGTTATGCTGGGGTAAAATTACGCACCCTACATATGTATTGGTGGATATGTCGAAAACAGTACTAGCTGATATATTTATTTCATCAAGCACAAGTAAACAATCCCTATCTCTATCGTTTTTCAATTGCGAAATTTTAATGTGTAAAAATTCGAAAACTTTATGTAAAATTTCACTCTGAAATTTTAAATTTTCGAGTTTTTGATTCAGTGTTCGCAATGAAGGAAGTGGAAAACCGTGCTTTAATAGTTCTTTATAGCCAGATTGCCCGCATGAAAACTTTAATTGATAGGCTTTGACTAAAGTGGAATCGCACCATTTTGGCATTTTTTTATACTCACACCCCAACATTTTTATTTGATCATTATTTAAGAGATTTTTTAATGCACTCGAAACATGTTTTTGAATACCTACTTCTTGTTGTAATTTTCTAATTTTTGTCCTGTATTCTCTTTGTAGGCGTTTGTGCTTCTTCTTCATTGTAACTCTCAATCTTTCTGACTTTTGTAACTCTTTTTGCAGTCGTTCAATGATTCTGGAATTGCTTGAAGTAGTCGACTCATTTTCTGTTTCATTCTCGGTTTCACCCCTTACAATATGAGTCTCTTCATTTTCAAAGTTACAAATTTGTGTGTTGGGCGTTGTCTTGTCGGAAACATAAGCTGCTGGACTTCTTGTAATTTCGGGTTCGCTTTGTATTTTTACTTCTTTATTTGTTGATACAGTAAGTATCGATATAACTTCTTCAATTTCGGTAACTGTTGGCGTTGAAAAGAAATAATATTTTATACAATTCTGTTAGGAATTTTAGTTTTAATTAAAGGAGTGAGTAAGGTCGTAAGAAGTTTTTGTAAACCAAATTGTAAGAACTTGATCGCAACATCACAGATACGTTATCGCACATGTTATATATTAACAACACTCTTTTATTACAATTCTTGTGAACGATCTTTTTTACTTACTATTAGTGATTTCCTGACGTTCTTGCTGTGTCACAAGATCGCCAAATATTGTTGGCACCGCAGACGATTTTAATTTTTTTGTTCCAT